CCTGAATATTAAAGGCAAAAATTTTAGTCCACGGGATCAACTGCAAATTCAAGTGGAGAGAATCAAAAGAATAGATTTAAAGAATGATCTGTCATAAAGAGCCCAGTGCTTTTTAACCAAGGTGTTGTAAATTCTTAAATGGAGTAAATTCCACGTAGGTTTAGCAAGGATTGAACTCTACTCTGGGGAAGGCTGAGAAAGGCCATCAATGTTGGTTTGCCCTGGGTCTATTTCTTTCATATTTGAGCTGTCTTACTGATGGCTTGCTTACATGAATATATGCACATGTTGTTTTAAAGCAGACTTGTTTGCTTGATAATCAAGTGGAAAGATGCAGCTGGGAAAAGCATTAGAATGATCCGTCACTTTCATGATGACTCAGACCCAAGTGAATGTTGATGTGCGGGACAGGAAGAGGGGCATGGCAGCCTGCTACCTGCTGCAAAGCCTGCCAACGTCAATCTCATTGCGTGTGGAAAAAAATCGCACTTTCTTTAGAGGAGCTAAATGATTTGAATCTCAATAAACAACTCTCTCAGCCTGTCAGTTTCTTCAAGAACATTTACTGTTGTCTCCTATAATGATTGCTCCTTACAGAGGAATGTGAGTGAAGGGATTTAATCGAGGTAATTCTGGGTAATAATCATGTGAATTTCTCCACTCTGGGTCTTGTTCCATCTGTTCCAAGCCATTTGCTCATGGAAAGCTGTCAACATTCTGAACCACTGACTGACAGGTGCGGCCAGACATGCGCATTTCTCATCTCAGAACCACAAATTCTCAATGTTTCTTTCTCATCAAAGCAAGCTGACTGAAGGACCCAGAAAGCCTCTTTACTTTAAGGACGCCTTTTCTTTGTTTTATTGGTCATTAAAATCTGTAGGTTTCCTTTGCTTAGTACCTGGGACAAGGCTACTATAGGTGGCTGCCTTTGCTGGGGTGGTGGAATCCCAGGTGCGCACATTGTGGGAAGGCTTTGCCAGGGGACTGGGGGCGCAGTGAGGTGTTACCTTAGCAAACACAGGAATGTGCACTCGCCATCCTTCAGTGGAAGGTGGCAAGGGTCAGGCGAGCAGGTGACACTTGGCCCAGAAACGTGTTTCCTGTCGTCTTATGTGTGCACACTAAGGGCTGACAGAAATTGATTAACACCAAAATGTAACTTGAGCCCCTGAGTGTGTATTTCACAGAATTTCCACATCAGAAGACTATCCTATACTAAGCCCAATTCTCTGTGTAGAATCGGTCTCTATTCCCTAAGCTAATTGCCACGAAGTGTAGCAGGTGAGACATCACTTGAGATTCCTCGATCCCAAACTCTAGTACCCGGGTTCAATACCTGGCTCCAGATGCAGGTCCCTCCTCCTGCTCACACAGACCTTGGGATTCAGTAGTGAGGGCTCAAATAGCCAGGTTCCTATCACGTCTGGAGGACAGGAGTTCATGACTTCTGGCCTTGGTTTGGTCCAGCCCCCGTGACTGCAGTCATTTCAGGACTGAACCAGCTAACAGAAGCTCTCTATATGCCAATCAATCTGTGTCTCAAAAAATTTTTTTAAAGATCTGTGATTCAGCAGATTAAGCTTCTATCTGTAGTGCTGTTGTCCCGTATTGGAATGCCAATTTTAATTTTAATTTCTCAGCTTTGGAACTTCACGTTAGTTTCCTGCTGATGTGCTTGGGAAAGCAATGGAAGGTAGCCCGAGTGCTTGGACCCCTGCCCCACACTTGGGATATGCAGAAGTAGTTCCTGGTTCCCGGCTTTAACCTGCCCCAGACCTGGTTGTTATAGCTGTTGGAGGGGGGCAGGGCTAACCAGTGTATAGAATCTCCTTTCTTTATCTGACTTCCAAATAAATTAACAACAAAAAGAAATCTTCAAAACTAATGAAAATTTGTGATACTCTAAGAACAAATCCCCCCTCAAAATGCCAGAATTCAAGAGACTAATAGCAGGGTGATAAATAGGATTGGATGTGACTATTTTTTCTAAATTTTTCATGTCCTGTGCGTTATATCTGCTAGTTCGTATTCAGAATAACAATGTTCTCTTTCAGCTGTAAGTTTCCCATCAGAGCTGAAAGAGTGTATTGTTATCCCGGACTCAACATGTCAACATTTTCTGTTTTCATCTCCTCGCCCAGTATTTCCTTTGGTGATATCAAAGCACCCAGACCTTGCAGAAGGAACACTTAGGATTCCGTGCATAAATGTCAGCGCGAGATCGCAGTGAACATGATGGCTGCATACTGGTGTCTGACCTGGGTGCTGGGGTGGAGATGCTTAGAAAACAAAGATTCTCTTTCAAAGAGACTGTAATACTACGTCTTCGTCATTTCTTCCGGAATAAACGCCTTTATATGGTTGATTTGTTTTCTGCTTGACAATTCCACCATTTGCCACACATTGAATGAATAGGTGGGTGGTGAGGAGAAGAAAGCCCAAATCTGCACCCTCCCACCCAGACATGAGTCTCTCAGGGCATTGGCAAGTGCCCACAACAGAAGTGACAGGTGCAATGACAGACGTTTGACTGAGAAATTGGGGGAGATGTGATAACTACTCTTTTGAGAGCTTTCATTGGTGGATGCCTGTCCATTGTTGTACTTGAATTCCAATCTGTGTTGGTGGGACTACTTATGAACTCTCTGTTTGGAGGCCACCATGGAGCATCTCTGCCTCAACCCTCCACCTCTCACTGAAGCTGTGAGGAATCAAGCAGAGTCCTTCATAGCACAGAGAGTGTGATCTCAGAGGAGAAAGATAAAGGAGCCTAGATGGTTTCTCCCAACACTAACTCTTTGTATGGCCACCCTTCCAGATTCCCACAAATTAGATGCATCCCATGTATCTTCCCTGACACCTTAGTCCAAGCAACATGTCCATGAGGACATGGGTGTCACTTTGGGATCTGCAGGGCACATCCGACCATGTGTGCCAAGGTAGAAAAAGCTTTTTTTCCCTCAGTGTGTGTGAATTATCTCTTAGTTTATGTTCTGCTTGTGACCACCTGAAGAACTAATATTGTTGACCTCACATCACACACATGGCTCACTCTGCCTTTAATCTCCAAACATCTGAGAGCAGATCTATGTTCTATCTACATTTGTCCCCTAGACTCCAGGGCAGTGGCTCTCAGCAGGAAGTGACTCTGCCAGTCAGGGCAGCTGGCTCTGCCCAAGCACAGTTCAGATCATCACAGCCTGGGAAGACAGCGTGTTTAGCGCACCTAGTTGATCAACACCAAGAGTGAGTGGGCATCCTTCACTGCACAAGACAACACCTTTGACAACATCCCCCTGAAAAAAACAACAGAATCCAAGCTAACATTACCTTGTTTAACATAACATTTGACACAGTATTAATGCTAATAAATGCTAATATAACTTGTCCATAATCAGCTATAGCAGCAGAGTGAATCATGTACTTTTCTTCCAGAACAGCCAGCTCACGTCCTAAATTCTCGCGGTTGTAGAAATGTCACAGGGAGACATCTCAACCCACACGTGGTGCTGAGTGATTCTCTGTGTCATGCATCACTCTTCCTTAGGATTTTAAGCGGCTGTGCTCAGATCCCTGTTTGCCCGATTACTTTCCCATTAGGCTTTTCGATGCTTTGTGTTCAGTCATGTGTATTTTATTATATGATTATTTTAAATATTAGGTGCCTTGAAGTGTTCAACCAAAGCACATAGGAAAACTATTACTTAGGGGTTCAAAATTGTTGGTGTTTTCTTATTGTAGAAGTGGTAGTTTCAGAAAACTATTTTTGTATTATCTGCATTTTTTATTGCATTTCATTTTGGACATCATTTCATATGGACGTCAGTTCATAGGTTCTGAGGTTCCCCATCCCCTCCCCGAACCCTCCCCCCATTGTGGATTCCTCCACCTTATTGCAGTATTACAGTTCAAATCCAGTCTTGTTTCTTTCATTGCAAGCATGTTCCATGCATAGAGTCCAGCATCTTATTGTCCAGATCAATTCATTGGTTTCTTGGGGAGACCAACTCTGGTCTAGAGGCAGAGCTGGCAGAATATTCATTCCGACCAATTAAAAGCCATAACATAACATCAACAGCAGTTTACAACATTATGGGTTTAATTGACATGGTATTGAGTGACTGATATGTTAGAAAATGCAAATTTTAACCACATCCTGTGACTACTTCATTGACATTTCAATTTTAGTTTATATATAACCGGCTTCTATCCACCCTAAAATGGCTATAGGACACTATTCAGCTGTCCTGTGTCTATTTTCATTTATGTATTTAGCAGTTTATTGTATTGAAGCATAATTTTTACTGAACTTGGCAGATTTTAGGATAGTCCAAACTGGCTTATAGCTTTAACAAGGCATATGTCAGCAGTTGACGGACAGAACAGTTTTAGGAGGGGTGTGCAGAAAAATTTTCCATTACCCTAGAATGTGTGAGGCAGACGTGAAGTATAACCTATCAAGAACATAACAGGTAACTTATAGACAACAGACTCGAATCAGCATTAGACAATAGTAAAACTACAAAGATATACAGGGGGAATCAAGGGTGATCCTGACAACCTCTTAACAGAAAACTGATTTTTAAAGGAACAGTTCAGTACATTACATAGAGTCACATGTGCAGATGTGATGAACTGAGTAGCTTCAGATGATTATTAATGGTCACACCCTCCTCTCCCAGCAACCTGAAAGTGTCTGGTCCCACTGTTTGCTTGTAATGAATTTGAAAGTCATATGTACCTGAAAAATGCAAAAGCTCTCACAAGGAAACATGTTTTTGCTAGGGTGTCGCTTTCTTATTTGATTATCTCAGAACTCAATTGAGGAAGCAGTGATATAGGCAAAAGCATGCTACCTTCCACCCTTCACCTTCATTGTGGGAGACATCTTCCCCAAAAAGGGCCTAACCCAACTGAGGAAGAGCACAGTGTGTGGCCTAAGCCATCTGAACATTTGCACATCGTTTTTTAAAGCAACCAAGTTTTCGGTTCTTAACATGACAGAGGCCCAGTCAGTTTTGTTTCTGCTGTTTGCAGTGATACAATTTCTTTTGGGGATTTTTGCCAACGGAATCATTTTGGTGGGAAATGGCATTGATTTGGTCAAGGAGAGAAAACTGACTCCACTGCGTCTTCTGCTTTCTTGTCTGGCAGGTTCAAGGATTTGCCTGCAATCATTCCTTTTCTATTTAGATCTGGTTGTTTTGTTCTTGACACAAGTATCTGCAATGTTTGAAATTTTTGTGATTATATTCTTCATTAATAAACTGGGACTTTGGTTGGCCACGTGGCTTGGTGTTTTCTACTGCATCAAGATTACCACCTTCCACCACCCGCTTTTCTGGTGGCTGAAGAGGAGGATACCTGGGATGGTCCCGTGGCTGGTGGCGAAATCCCTGCTCTACGCGGCCGTCTTTTCTGGGATTTACAGCAAGTACACATGGGTGATTTCCCAATCATTGCTTCAGAAATTTTCCTCTAAAAATGCAACAGGTCAAATCAAGGAACCATCTGCTTTGTCTTTCTGCCTGTTCATCACCGGGCTCTCATTCCCATTCCTTGTCTTCCTTATTGCCACACTGCTCTTGACTTTTTCTCTATTGAGACACACCTGGCACATGACAACCTTTGTAGCTGGCACCAGAGACCCAGGCCGGAGTGCCCACATCAGTGCATTGTGGTCAGTGCTGTCCTTCTTCGTCCTCTACTTCTGCCATTACATAGTGGCTCTTCTGCTTTCCTCTCATATTTTCCCACCAGGAAGCCTCATGTTTCTATTGTGCCTCTTGATTTCTGGCATCTACTCCTCTGGACACTCTGTCATCTTGATTTTGGGGAATCCAAAACTAAAACGAAATGCTAAGAGGCTTCTCTGCCCCTGTGATCATTTCTAAGAGCCCACAACTGGATGACTTACCACCGTCTGCCATACCCTCTTCAGCCAAGCCAAGCAGCCTTTTTTCTAAACACCCAAGATTTCATCGGAAGACTGTCCAGCCTGAAGCATGCTTGTGGATTTGTCAGGTTTTCAAAGGGGCTGGTTGATTTTCAAATTGCAACACATGCCCATGGATCATATCCATGTCAGTGACCCAGTTGTGTTATTACATTGCCATCTTGCAATACAGTAAGATTGGGGGAAATCAGGCAAATGATGTTGGCCTAATTCCATATCGTTTCCTACAAGTGCATGCAGAGCTACAATACCCTCAAAAGAAAAGGCATAAAGAAGAAGGGAAATGCACATTTGAACCTCCGTGTTGGAAGGAAAACAGCTGCTACGGGATCCCTGTGTGTTGATCTTGAGAGGAAGGATGGATGGCTCAGCCCCTTGTCTGGCTGGGTGCTATTTCTCATATTTGCCAGCATCACAGACAATGGGACCGTTCTTCGTCTGCAGAAGAGAAAAGAAGCTGAGGACAGGAAGCATTGGTCTTAACATGCATGTTTGCCTACTCTGTCCTGCAGGGAACCTAGATGCCACGGTGACATGTTCCGTGAACTCATTAAAAAGCCAGGCAGATGGAGCCGGAGGGTGGGTGGGCAGGAGAAGGGGAGTGGGGGCTGAATGCTCCTAATTGGGCAACTAAGTAGAAAATAGCTCTCAGCAGGCTTCATTGGCTTGCTGCACTCAGCTTAGAGACCCTTGCAAGGGACGGTGGTAATTTGGAACTCCCACCACCTCGCCTGTCTTCACGATGAAGCAACATCAGTGGGTGGGTAGGGTTGGGGGTGTCTCCATCTGCTTGAAGTCACAAATGTATATTCTGCTTGGTGAATGATTTAGGAAACTAAGATCTATACATGTATTTCTAAAACTGTTTCAGAACATTTGTGCTTCCAGGCAAGAGGGAAAAAAGGAAAGGGTATTCTTAAAGTATAACTGTAATTTGAGTAAGAAATCTTCACAAAGTTAATGGAAAATGCGTTTTATGGAAAAAAATTCTGCATGAATTCCCCCAAATTTTCTGCACTGAAATACACTTCTCCTAACTCTATTTTCCATGAACTTTTTGGGCTATCCTTGTAGAACAGGTGTGTTGAGGCATCATTTATCCAGGTTAGCCAATCACTAATACAAGGAGTTCAAATACTGATGTTCTGGTGCAAGACAGGCAGTGAAGGACTCTGTCTCCAAAACTACAGATGAAACCCTGAAGATGCCCTCTGCCTCCCCACAGCTCTCATACTTCCTTCCCCAAGGAGCAAGACAGCAGCCTCCCTCTTCCTGCTGTTTGATTTTCATCATCCCGCTGGATGTGAAGTTGGTGCACTCTGGTAGGTAGTTCTGAGAAGAGAACTCGTTCCTTGCCAGTAACTCTTGCTTCTGCTAGGGGAGGGAACAGTAAAGAACCACTTTTCTTTTTCTCATATCTCAGACTCAAGTCCTTCCTGCCCCCTGAATCTGTGATGTGTACACCTGCAGGTGCATGGACGGGAGTGGGAACAGAAACAAACGCTAAGGGAAAAGCTTGTGATCATGCAATTCGTGTGTGGCTTTTTGAATAACCAATTTCAATTCTATTCCATGCAACTCTTCCCTTAATAGTGCTAGTTAATGAGATGAAAATTAAGATATTACCACATTTATATACTTAATGACCACAGCAGATATAAAAATTGAAACAGGAAAAAACAGTGACATAATAAACTACTGTAAAATCCTTTTCAAAGCCTTATTTCCTAGACATGTCTTTTTTCCAAAAATGTTGCCTCACCGTAGTGCAGATGAGTATGTGTCAGCAATAGTTTGATTTTAGAAGCAAAACAGTCTCTGCCTTGGGTCTTTCTGGAGCCATCTTCATCATGACTAATCAAGTGTTACCAGTTTCTTGAAGATAGAGTGGGATGGACCTGAAGGTGTTAGAGAGTCCCAGTGTTCAGTGTCCATCATTGGCCTTCCTCGGACCAGGGCTGCGCGTCCTGGCTACCCCAGTCAAAGGTTAGGAATTCAGGACAGTCACTTCTCAGACTAGGAATATTTTGTTTGGGGACGTGGTAGAGTTGGTTTCCATAACTTTTGTCTTGTGCAGAGCTACACCTTCCTGGGTGAGAAGCGAAACAGGTAGTTGAACATATGTAATGAAGAGAGAAAGGAACCAGCCGGCTCATCCAGACTGACGTTGGCAGTCAATGGGATGACAGACGTCACAGGCAGATGGCACCGATATCGGAGAAAGATCCTATGGCTTGGAAGAGGAAGGTCACATGTTTTGAAATAGTTTTCTTAGAGAATGAAGTTAGAGTCAGGTTAGATATTGTATTAAACTTAAGATCAGGGCTATATTCATTCTTATATCTCCATTGTCATGTCCTTCCTAATAATGCTAGACTTTCCCTGAAACCTTTGTTTCCAGTGAACATAGGGAACATGGCTGGTATCAGGGAACTGTGCTCACTGAACTGATAGCGTTAAGCTTTAGAAAATCAATGCAAATACAAGATTCCTTGTTGGCATTAGTTTCACTGGCTTTGTTCTGTAAAAACCCAATGTATCTTTCTCTCAATGCATTTGAGATTAGACCATCTCCATCCATTGCCACACACCTTTGAAGGATGAACTAATGATTGTTTTTAAGATGTGATGTAAACATTTGGATTCATATCTGTGACATCTGGATCTACTTAATACTTTTGGCTGGAGATCAGGAGTTGATTTTATCCTATAATTTAAGACATACTAAATCAATTATATATGGGTTTTCTTTTATTCTTTTTAGTATTTTATTTGTTTCCATTTTCAGTGTTTCTTCAGGAGGCCCCCAACATTCTGTAATATTGAATCAAATATCTACTTAAATCTTTGAATACATTTTCATTTTTAAAAATGACCCAAGATTCGTTTTATTTAAACTTTAGCATTCCTTGAAAGAAAAGATATAAGTCTGTTTCTGAGGTTGGGGTCATGTTCTTCAGAGAGCTTTAGCTTTGATTGATCAAATTCCCTTCTTCATACAGACATGCATAGGACAATATAAACACACACTCATGTATGGCTGGGTAAAATGTGAATTTGGGAGCAGCGAGGGCTCAAAGCCCTATGGCTGGCAGTACTTGGGGGTCGGTGAGGACTCCCTGGATGAGAGCGTGTAGGACCATTGGAAATCCTTCTGAAGATGAGGGAGTGGCAAAGGAGGTAGGAAATAAGTAAGTGGCTAGTAATTGGAAGGACCTAGCATTGTTTATGGAATGCCCTCTGTCCAGAAATCCTCCCATTTGTACGGCAAATGTTGTGCTTGTGGTTACGAATTAGTCTTACTTCACTGCAAAACCAGGACATTGGCATCCAGAAACATTGACCTGGTATGATATTTGGTCAAGACATGCAGTTTTTTGATGAATATTCTGCGAATGTTTACCACTACCTGCCTGCCTGCTAGAGTCCTGGGAACTCCAGAGGTTAGGGCTTCCTCTCTGATCACAGGGCGTGCTGGATGGTGATGAATCCTAAGAACTGTCTGTGAGGTAAGAGAGTGAAACGTAAACATGGCACTGTAGATCGTGCTGTAGAAGGATTGGGAATTGGCACAAGGCAAGCCAAGCCACTGTGCTCACAAAGTCAGTACCCGCTCCCTTTCACTTGCCTCATTAGATCTGCATTTACTGACTTGGGTCATGGAAACAACTTTGGTGCAGTGCAGTCAGCATTGGATGTACTGACTGTCACTTTCTTCGTTTGTCAAGTGGAGGTAAAAACGACACCCACCATCACCCAGCCAGGCTTTGTGTACGTAACTGTGAGCACAGGGAACGTGCCACATGGTGGGGCTGATGCGATGTGTGTTGTCACAGGTGACCACCAGAAGCACATGAACATAGGACAGCGTGTGGGGAAGCGTGCAGTGAGCAACAGAAGGGCTCAAGGAAGAGGCTGATCAAAACTAAGCAACTTGATGTGCCTGAGCCTCATAATTCCCTGTCTGAAATGGACGTAATTCCCAGTTTAATGAGAGGAGTAAATAAGTTAGTGGGCCCAGGTTGCTCACCCAGTGGCTGGCTGTTGAAACTATTTTCAGTCATCTAAAACTGCAACTTTGATGGCCTTTGACCAGGAGTAATGACAGTTTTGTCTGCTTCACCCTGATGGTCAGTCAACTGTAGGACTTGGAGGAGGACTAAGGTCAGACACACCAAACAGGATGTAGAGTAGAAGTGGCTGTGCTCAGCCCTGATGCTGCAGCTCCTGACAGGGACAGGCTGTTCTCCAGGCCACACTGAGGGGCTGAAGCTTCCCTGTGTGAGCTAACCAAGTCCAATGTAAAGAAGGGAGAAGAAAACGCTTAGGAACAACTGCCCTCTGTGGGAGTGTAACATGGCAATTGCTCAAAGAGATAACTCCAGGAGTCACCAGTGACCCAGCAGGTCCACTCCTGTGCGAAGGTAGGAGCCACGTAGATGTGCACACTCAGGCTCACAGCAATGTTTATACTAGTCAAAAGGTGCATGCAGCCTACCTGTGCATCAGCAGAGACATGGGCTAATGAGACGTGGCATGTCCGTACAGATGACTCTACTATGGACATTCCAATTAGAATCAGCTCAAGTGTGGGCTAAAGGCTGAGTGTTGCACAACCATACACTCTTAGTATCTAAATGACAGCCTGTGTTCCAATGTGTACTACCCCTCCTTCAAAATACACACACCCGGGACCCCAAGAAAGTGTGCTGCTTGTGCAAATGATAGCGATAGAAAAAGCAAGTTGTGTGATGTCATGTTTAAGAGGGGCTTCCGTTTGAAACTCATCTCAAGCCTGAAAGTCTTTCTTTCTGGATGTTTCAAGGGCACTGAGGGCAGTCTGGGAGTGGACGTCCAGCCCCTTGGGGCATCTGGGTGGTGCTTGATTGCCTGCAGGGAGGAATTTGAAAGACTGATCTGATGGTTTGTAGCTCACTC